CAAACAGACAGACGGAGGATATAAATCACCAGGAGCACTCGAACAAGCAAGTACATACATTAGTTACATCATTTAGACATCGAAACTGGTCCAAATTGATGTTACAATGTAATTTCATGAGGGGAAAGATAATTTTCTTAGTCGTTTTACATTCGAACAACAAAAACAAAATACGTAGTTCCAAGGTACGTCGTACGAAATATACCGTATATTTGTAATGTATTTCAAATCTCATTTATATTTAAAGACATCTATTATTAGATAAATCCGTAATAATTCTCAATTTGCATGTCGAGTGACATTAAACGAATCCGAGTCTATAGATAGTACTGTGGTTGTGTTTCGCATGTCTGAGGCTCTGAGCCGCTCCTTGCAAATAACGGCTCTTTACTAATTTATCAACCGACTAGTGATGTCGTATTTATTTGTAAATATATTACAGTCATTACTCACAATAAGTGATAGATCGTTTTTGTTTCAACTGGTTTGATGTTTTCATCGCTAATTTGCATAGACGGAGGCCGTCTGAGCATCGTCGTGATACTCATCTAGAGAGAAAAATATCGAGAAGCGAACAAATTGATGTGACCTTGGGTGGAGGTCACGTGGGACGGGACAAGTGACAGCCGGCAGATGAGGTCGCGGTACTGACACGGATCAATCAGCGGGAGACTAACACTCCAAGTAGTGTTATATATACAACATGCTATTCTCTTCATACAACGAGGACACTTCTAATGATAATACCTATAAAGAATAAAAGCTCTTATAGGACATCGACTGAAGGCATCGCAAATGAATGGTGTCATTATAATAAATGTTATACCGCGAAAGTGTTGGCTCACACGACGTTAAACGTGTAACTTTCGTTCCACACTTGAAGTTGTTCGATATTCACTATAATTATACTGTAATCATTGATTACAACTCGTTAGCTTTTCTAATAAACACTGCTCCAAGTACAAATGTATCTTCGGCTCTCAATCGTTCATACGCAATAATAAAAATCAACATCATGTACCTATAGGTAAATGATATCAGACCGCGAAGTTAATGAGATAATGTGGCATCAGTACAAGTGACATTCCAATTACTATTATACTAGCCGCTGCATGTGACTTCATATGATTTTTTTGATCAGTTTACATGTCACGAAAAACGTAATAATTCAAATCAAATAGTCTCTGAACACTTTAATAACTGTACCTACTGTATATAACACTTTATTTTTGCTAGGGAGCCGTCTAAGACAAAACATAAAACTTTATTGAAATCTATCCAGTGATTCGCGCACTACCTCTATGCGTGATACCTGTGGACCTTTGCTTCCAAACAATATTAAAACATGACATAACATTAGCTATACATATATACACATTTTACACATTCGAAGTACCTACCCCAGAAAGGCGACTTTTGATGTTTTATCCGACACAATGTTTATGAGATGAAATCTTAAGTATAAGGATCAAACAAACATGTGTTAGGCAGAAAAAAATATCAAATTTTCTAAATTATTATATTCATATTATTACTTCTTCGATTTAACGAGACGAAAATATCTTATATGTTTCTCTTGATTCTCACCAAATGAATTTTCAGTCAAAGCTATACAGCCGTTCTTGAGTTATAAACCTGACTTTCTTTTATGTATACATATAGGTTACGTTTTTATTTATAATATATAGAATCATTAAACGTTAAAGAAAATTCTGATTTTCCTTAAGATTATATTAGACCTATTTACTTTTAATTCTTTAAAATATTAAAACTAACGTCATTGAGTATAGTCAATGTATAAAAAAATATTGTTTTAGTAATTTCATAATAAATTCATAGAAATAAATGCAACGTTTAGTACTATCACATATTATTCGAATAGTTCAAATTATTACGAAATTATTCATAACTTCCTAGTATCATACGTGTGCCGTCTAACCGTCTCTCAATACCACAACCTATCGTGTCTATTTACATATGATACGAACCACAATCATGTCCATATTTTCGGACAACAAATTTCCACTTATTGAAAGTTTATAAATAAATATTCCATCATATTTTTTTTTACCAGCGTAGGAAGTGGATTAATTAATATTCTAGTAAATGAATTAACGCTAGAGATGAAACTTTTATCCGGTAACTATTAAGAATCCGGCCGAATACCGGATAAAAAAAAATAAAACAATCATTGCTGTACGTAAGGCAAGTCACACCACAATAGGATATAGAGAAGTTATTTTTAGTCCATACTCATTATTGTTAAGTGGAAAATTGTGGTTAATGAATACCAAGTTTTCCGCGTTTGTTTATAGCCGGCGATTCCGCTTGGTCTTGATATTAGAACCGTTTCTAAAAACAACCTTAAACTCAAAGATAACCTCTAGCAAACCTTGACAACGGACGATTTTGATTTAAACTAACTGAGAACCAAATGTACAGGTCGTCAGTAAGAGATGTCTTTAAGAAAATTTCCGAAGGAGCCAAAATCCAGCGCTCCGGCTTCGCAGCCCATCGAATATTCAGTATTTGTTATCCGGACAAACCATTAAACGTTTCATCTCTTATTAACACACGTATCCTGTAATTATCAGTAAGGTTTGTTATAATGTGAAGAATTATTGTAATCTGTTCGATCATTATAGACATTTCCTTCGATTATAATTAGTGAGCGATAAATGTTAACATTCCGACAGGCTCAGGCATAACTTATATTACCGACGCGACGGCTGTTTCTGTACATAACGTTAGTATAAACATCGATATCCCGTCGTGATGTTCAACTCGGTCGTATCGATTAGCCGTATCGATTATCGTAATGAAAAATGACCGGAGGCCTAGAAAGTGACAGTGTTTTTGGTTGCGCAAGCGCCGAATAGCACGGTCAGTGACCGGCGGGGCGCGGCGGGGAAAGTCGCGGCGGGCAAAGAGTGTTTAATTACCTCTCATCTACGAGAGAATAGCTCGCTCTAAACAGATATTACAATTCACTTCATCATTATATTATACTTGCTTTTCATACTAAAATCAAATTCTTTTTATACTTCTATACTAGCTGTTGTACCTGTCTTTGAATGAAGGAATGGTATCATCATACACTAATTTGATTATTATAATTTCTCTACTGTATAGTTGTTATTCTTAATAAAATCCTAATGATTTATTTAATGTTTAAGTACTGAGTACTGATACTTTTATGTAGCCATTAAGTAGAGAGAAAATTGTACAAAACTTATAACAAACATTTGAAAGGAATGTTGGCTACCATCTGACAATATATATTATACAAAATCATCCCCTGTAACCACAGAAATTTATTAAAAAAAAATGGAATATAGGTGAAAGTTAAAATAAACAGTCAATAATAATTAAAGTAAGTATGTAATTAAAAAACTTAACTAAAAACATGGAACTTAATAAATTATTCATTTATATAAAGAATTAATGTCTGTTGATATTTGACTTGATAAATAAGTTCAAAGACAGTACTGTCAGGTAAATAGTTCCAAACGACCACAGTGACAACATATCATTCAGAGATATAACAAAATGCCTTTCATGGCAATATTATTATATATAACCAAATTTGATTATAACCGATAAGAGTCGTTGAGATGCCTAATAATCAAATAGCAGTTGAATTATAAAATATATTTATTATTCTTTATTCAATAAATAAGTAGAAATAACAACGATGAATTCCAGTGTACGGAAAAATCATTATTGGTTTATGAGACACTGAAAACTTAGATATAAATGTAAAAAATACCAACATAATTGTAATAAATAAATAATAATAATAAATAATGAAATCGTCTCCTTGCATTTGAATTGTCTATTGAAGTAAATCCAAATAAAACTTATTTAGAAATATTACCAACTGAATACTATTTGCAATAATTGTTCTTTACTTATATATTGGAAAAAACATTAAAATTTTCAAAAAATATATTTTCTTCATTGAAAACAATCAGTTGTACCTTTCATACAGATGAGTAATAATAGAACAGAACCTTGGAATGTCAAAAATAATTCTTATTCCTTGACCTAATGACAAAAATATTATAAATTATGAAATGTGTGAAATACAAACTCATACTTTTACTTCCCAGGTAACGCAAAAACAAATTTGGACTCTAAAGTTTAGTTTTAGTGTAGAAAATAGGTTGTTTATTTGGAGTTTGTGTTATGTACATCTCTATAATAATTAATTTTTAAAACCATATTTTATTTAATAGAAGTAACATTTAATTTCATCAACATTGAAGTGTGAGAGGGATAATAAGTTGTGTGATTTCTTTTAAAAATAAGTAACCATTTGTTGTTTTACCGAGACATAATAACTTAAAGTCTATTAGACTTAGAATCCAATCTTTACAATACATAACTTGTCAAATTTATTTCTATCTCTTATAAATAAGAGTTTTGTATTATTAGAGAAGTATTGAATTGAAGTATTATATGGAATGAGTATTATATTTCCTATCTATTCACCAATTCATTATTTATTTATAATGTTACTTGCAAGACAAACAAATATAAGAACGCTGTGAAGTTTATTATTACCTTGGAGACTAAACACAGAAATTATTAACGAGATTAGGAAATAATCTTTTTTGTAGTATAATTTAGTATAATGACATTCACAAGTATAAATAAGCGAGTCATAATATGCTCTGTTAACTTATAAATGCTAACCACTTAAATAATTTGTTGTTGTATATTATATGTACACGATGAGGAAACATTTTAGGTTCCTAAAAATTTATAGCTATTCAAAATTATATGTACAAGATATATACCTAATATAAAAAAACAATTTGGTTCTAAATACAGAAAATATTCAGTAAACGAAAATTCAAATGTAACTCTAACATTGCATTGATTACAAAACAATCTTATTTTTTACTTAACTAACCTTGTGAATCAGCTGATGACAGCCTGCTGTCCTACATTTAAATCATTGTAAACTATTGTTAAATGAGTCGCAACCCGCTTACCTCTTCACGACGTTTCAACCAGCGGCCGCAGGGACTTTCTTCTAGGATTTCGCTTTCATCCTCAGAGTCCTCACCGCTTTCCCTGGGCGACTTGCGCTCTTTGTCGATGCTCCTACCTCCCGACATAACACCGATTTTTAAACACCACAGTAACAACGCAACACCGCACAGTCAACTGATATTTCACAAATGTTTTCCCGAAGAAAACACTAGGAAATATTTTCAGAAAACACTTTTTCTTGTAACCATAACCAAGGTTGTAAGACTGTAATATGTCACTAACGTTTCATCCCAAACCATTATTCATTACACAGCACAAAATAAAGATATAAATTACTAGATAAATAAAATTTAAAGATTTCTTTATATAGAGCAATAGAACGCAGTGAGTCTAGCAAGCTTACTCATGATAATTGAAATAAATTGTTCACCGGCGTATCTCTCGACGTATTTCTCTCGGACACAAATATAAAACCATAGACAAATGTTTATTTTTTTTTGATAGACACATAGACAATAGACAGTTTTCAATGTCATCTGAAAATTAATTTCTTTTTTAATATTAATTATATTAGGTAAATTACTAAAGAAAATGGTTTTTAAAAATGGAAATAGTTTTATAGAGTTTTTCAAGTTACGCCATCTAGCGAGGCTTGAGGTAGTAAATTATATTCGTCAACAGTTTTATATTTAATTATAAAACCATTTATTTTGACTGATATTGAACTATTGTAAATTAAATGATTGTTAATTGAAGGTTTTTTTAGTTTCTGTCTGTTTCAAAGTATAATGAGAGTCACCTAGAGAATAACTTTAGAAGTACGTGAAGTCATCTACAACCAGTCGTACTGTAAAGTTAATCATGATCAACCATAGATGGCGCTATAATAACTATAAATGTATTTGTACAGAAATCAAACATACGTATAAGGACAACAGTTATACTTATTGGCATTATATTATATTGTCATTACAGTTTACTTAACAATTACTAAAATAAAGTCAACCGTTAGTTATAAAGAATTTCAGAATATATATCTAAGATTATCGCTTATACAAATTTGAATGAAATTAAGTTTTTCGGATACTGCGCCTCTCTTAATATTTTATATGTAAATAATCTCGACGTTTTCGTTAATGTACAGCAACCTTAATCACGTTCACTGCAGACGAAGAAACTTTCATCTCCGTAAAACTTAATTTCATTTAAGAAAAAATATTTATAACATCTAAAAGTCATAGATTTTTATTCATGTTTTTTGTTTCCTATAGAAAGTATAACATTCAATAGCGAAGGTTACTATCGTATTCGAACTACTTTATTGTTGAACAGGTGAATAGAAAATTTTCAAAAATAATTTAAAGCAGGAAGTAAGTGCAAACCTCGAGGTAGTCGCTAAGAATGATCTAAGTTACGTGAGCTAATAAAAGGCAAGACATAGTAGTCGCAAAAGTGTCAAGAACTGTAAAAAGCATATATTTAGTTAAAATGCCCTCAGCCACAGACGACAGATGCAGAAAGTGACCAGTTTTATTACAAACCATCCAACATATAAAATAAGCCCATCTCAAACTTTCCCAGATGGACTACACTGACAAGTTGTATTAGAAAGAAAGGTCACGAGAAACTCATACAGTGGCAATCTATACAGTGGTGTGCACACCATAGATGCAAATAAGCACTGCCCACCTTACCCATATAACAATTAAACCTATATTGTTTAATTCTAACCTTACATACTTTTAATCATACATTACGAAATACAAATGTTTACAGACATTTCAAATGATATTTGAATCACGATTTGTTAATAAGTGGCATCTGTCAATGTTAAAAACAAACATTTTCGTTCGCCCGCTGCCAACTGAGAGCCGCTATGCAGCCAGAGCGGTGGTATGCACATCCACTCTCTGCTTATTTTCCATACAAAAATTCTCAAGGACGATCTACAAATCTCGTGTATGTATGAAGGAAATGTTTGTATGTGTAGTGTATTATAAATGAATATTTATAAATTTAATTTAATTATAAATGAATATTGTCATTTGTCTTTCTAAGTGCAAGTGAAAAAGTTTTTCTTAGTTAAATATTAAACTGTGGATTTATTTATTATAGAATTATGGAAAATTATACCTGTTAGTTCTGTGCTTGTGATATGTGTTTATCGAAATTTATAAGGATTCCTTTGATAATAAAATTAAAAAACATTAGTCTTAAGTCAAGGCTTGTGACCAGTGGAGATTGAACTAAAAGAAAGTTAATGTTATTCGTTTTAGGAAAAAGTATTATGATAGATTTAATTAAGTAGTTAGCAGGTTGTGTACACACAAATAAGTTATTTTATTTGCCTTGTTTGTTGTTATCAAATGATAATAATAAGAATGATTGATTCTTCTTTGGATATTCCTATTTAAATAACTTTTATAAAGCTGTGATGAACAGATCGTAATCGTTTTAAAGTACTTTCGTGGCTCAAAGGTAGTCGAGAGATTCATAAAGTATATAGATGTTCGTTCTGATCGGACTGCTGTAACATTATGCGCGAATATTATGAATGTTTAAATGAAATTAATATTTTATGCTTACTACTTACTGGTTCTTTTCAAATTTGGTTAGGTAGGGAGTGGACCTTGGACAGTGGAGGTGAACGTTTAACGCGCGATAGTTAAGGAGCCCTTTAAACCTATACTTGGGTCTCAAGACCCGGGCACTGTTGAAGCTCCTCTCCCTGCAACGCGATGGATCCGGCACCTGCACGGTGAATCCATTGGATGCTAAGAGGTTTCGACTCTCTACATACTCCCGACGTTTCGATTACTTTGCAGCAACCGTGATCACGGCAGACATCTCGTCTGCCCGTTAAAAATAACAAAAATATTAGTTTCATTTAAAATTTAAATCAATACTTGCGAAAGATATCATTATTATCAATGTTTAAGAAAGGAAATGATGAAAATTGGTATTTAATTTTTCAAACATATTCTGCTTACTAATACTAAATATCCCAAATCTCTGTGCACGCCACTGAATCCACAATGAAAACATTTTACAACAAAAAAGTTATACAGAAATTGTTTTATGGTGGTAGATTATTATTGAGATATAGCTAAGTTCCAAAATAAACAAAACAAAATATTTGAGTAGTAATCTCCGTACTAAGTCATCAGGATCTGCAGAAAACAATATTAAAAAAAGTTATAAATACATCAAATTTATAACGAGAATCGGAAAATTACGAAGCAAAAAATAAACGTTCCTAGTATCGTTAATGAATGAAGTTACGTTTAAACATATTCACAAGGACCTTAAAGTTATTGTGCTGAAACTCTTTCCTTTACCAAAAGCTGAAGAATATAGAACACTCAGAATGGCAAGCTAATAATATAAATAAATTTATTAACCACGACCTGCAATTACCAAATAGCTGTTTCTGACTGCAATAACAGACTATTTTAGTTTTAGTCTAGCTTAGTGAATCCTAACTGCCTCATGTCGTTTTTAGGGTAAAAATTTTCAGTTAACTTTTTGGGCTAAAACTCGTTTGAATATTAAATAACAATATTATTCTTAGGTGATACTAGCTAAATTTAACATTGTTCTATCTCTAAAACCTTTTGGATCCTTTGCCAGATTACTTCTCAAAACGAGGTGCAATGAATCTGACAACAATAAAAGTCCCTCGTTTATTTTCCATTTTAATTAATTCTCGTTCTAAATGGTAATTATGGTGTCGCCGCACAGAAGTTGCGTTTCTGACACACGTCAATTTGTCATGACTAGTGATGTAAGTATATTAATTAATTATATTTGAAGACGTAAAGTTTTTACATAACGGTTATTCACTTAATTCATTATGCTGATTTATTAAATTCAATACAAATTAATGCAGTCTTGCAAGAAAATCAACACAGTATAAATAAAATTGTTATTTTATAGTATTATATCAAGACTACAAAAATTATTATATCACAAAAATTGCATCGCTATTTCGTCCAAACAGATGACATACACTTGAACGAGAACAATTTGAGGAGGCGTGACATTTAATTTTTTTATTATTTAATCTATTCATAATTCTAAGCCAAAATTTTTATAGTTTTAGTAAGTTATTAAAGTTATTAGATGTTTCCGTTATTTGTAGCTAATTCAAAGTTACATTGGCTATTCGATTACCTGTCAGAAACGTATTGCTCAGCAGGAGGAGTACGATGTAGGAAATTAATAAGGAAAGGTGTATTTTGATTACACTTCCATCAGCTTGTGAATTAATTACTTTAAATCAACCTTTATACTATAGGGTGTTGTTATTTGTGTCTTTAATGTAAATATTATATAAGTACATCTTTCCGTTTCTGATGATTCATTTAAAAAATTCTGAAAAATTGGCTGTGTGATTCAAAAACATGAGAAAAAGAAATTAATTCACTAAAGAAATGTAGGAATAAGTATTAGTAACAAAAAAAAAAGGAATAAGTACCAGCTAAAAACTAAATACCAACATTTAAATTCAACTTTAAATGAGTATTCACTACCAGGTAATAGATCTCAGAAAAATATTAAAATGTTTGCGTTTTTTTCACAAAATGTAAATTAGAAGAGAAACAAAATATTTAAATAAACTGAATCTGATCAATGTACATTAGATAGTTTAGTTAAGGTCATTTAACGTCTGTTTCATAATGTGTTCATAGTATTTTGTTTCTTCTATTAATATATTAATTAACAGAGTCAACACATACTAGTATGTACCAGTGGAACTGCACACACTGACCACTACGATCGATCAACGTCGCACAGATCAATATAGAATTTATAAACGTATAATATTTAGTAAATAAAAACTAAACATAAAACTATCTCCCTAATAAAGAGATTAATTTTGTCTCTTTTAAAAACCATTTTATATCCGCCTAGACCTTTAATGTCGAAAAGGTTCATGATTTATATCCGTATACAAATTCATGTTTTCAAATTCAATGTTCCCTTCGTCCAAGTGTCTTATTCAATAGTAATGTAATACGATTAAATCAAATTAGACTATTGTGTAAATGGCACTATGGCGGGGACGGACTATGTTTTGAGAGACGTTTCTTCATTAATTCAGAGTTTAAGATCTTAAGACAGG